GAAGGGTTGATGGATGATATGAGCACAGGCAAGGACACGGGAATTGACTTGAATGTTGGTTTAGATTGGGGAATGGATTATGGAGATGATACCGGTGGTGTTAGAGATAGTGACGATATGGAGGACAATGTCGACACCACCGATAGTGATTCTGAGGATGATAATAACACTAACTTTGGTGATGATGATAAAGAGAACATCTCAGATGAGCATTTGCACAGCTTCGAAACACAGCCACACAGCTCAGATGCACCTCTACACAAAGATGCTGCAAATCCAGCCATGGCTCCACCGTACTCGAGTATGTATGACTGGACCTTGCTTGATAAAGTCGGGAATGGTAAGCCATATTCTAAATGGGAGTCGGATGATGTTGTGGGTTATGAGTTTGAAACCCTTGTGGAGGCTGCCAAGTTCTATGCAACTTATGGTTGTGCCATGGGATTCAGCGTACGGAAGAACACTCACACATTTTCAAAATATGGAGTTAAAAATATGCAGCGATGGGTTTGCTCACGCGAGGGGGAGCGTCAACCAGTGCACAATGACAAGGAGAACAGAAAGCGTGAACCTAGGCCTGTAACAAGGCTCCATTGTCCGGCAGCTTTCAAAGTCAGTTTTGTTGAGGCAACTAACCGATTCAAGGTGAAACAGTTTATACCAACACATTTTCATCACTTAGCTGGAGCACATGAAGTGCAGTTTTTGAGTTCTCATCGCAAGGTAGATGACGCAAGTAAGGCTCAGATTCGATCACTTAGGGCTGCTGGTATTCGCACCAATCAAATAATGGATTATCTAGTGAATTGTGCGAGAAGCTTTCAGAACTTGGGTTTCACTAAGACCGATGTCTACAATTTTGTTAGTGCGGATCGGAGGTCGGAGATCTTGGATAGTGATAGTGAAGCTGCACTTGCCTACTTACAAGCACGGGCAACTACCGATCCTCGTTTTTATTGTAGATATACAGTAAGTGATGGTGGTGAACTAGGCAATATGTTATGGGCTGACTCTTCTTCACAATTGGATTATAGTCTCTTTGGAGATGTTCTTGTTTTTGACTCGACGTACAAAACTAATGCATATAATCTTCCATTTCTTCTATTCATTGGTGTGAATAATCACAATGCAAGCACTGTTTTTGCATGTGCTTTACTTGCGGATGAAACGGCGGAGAACTACGTATGGATTCTAAATGCTTTTTTACATTGCATGGGTGGTAAGAAGCCAACCGCAGTTATAACAGATGGTTGTTCTTCAATGAGGAAAGCTATCAAGTCGGTTCTCCCTGGATCCCGACATCGGTTATGTTCTTGGCACTTGGGCAATAACGCAGAAGCGCGTGGCCATGCGGAAGGCTTCCGGGAGGATTTCAAACGATGCATGCTAAACTGCAGTTCTATTCCACAATTTGAAGCTACGTGGAAGGAAATTTTGTCCAAGTATGACCTGGAGCACAATGCGTGGATGAAGAAGATGTATAGGCGACGAGCTCTATGGGCCACAACTTACTTGAAAGGTATTTTCTTTGCTGGGATGACTACGTCACAACGTTGTGAGAGCATGAACTCTTATCTAGACAAATTCTTGCAAAGTAAGATGAAGTTGTTTGAGTTTGTCAAGCAGTTTGACATGGCACTTTTGTATAGGAGACAAACTGAGTTACATGACCAGTTTAAGACAATACATACTGATGTTGTTTTGATGACACATTTACATGAAATTGAAAGACATGCCTCTATAGTATATACAAGAAATGTGTTCAGGAGCGTTCGAGCAGAAATAGCGAGAGAAGTTCATTACTATATTACAGACAAGTGTGTGTTGACCAATAAAACAATTTACACATTGTCACGATTCAAATACCCTGACTCAAAGTGCACTGTGGTCTTTTACACGAGTGGACATGATGTGCATTGTTCTTGTGGCATTTTTGAGTTCTGCGGAATTCCATGTCGGCATATATTCTGTATATTGAAAGCAGAAAATCAAATACAAATTCCAAAGTCACTCATTTTGAAGCGTTGGACTAAAGATGCAAAAGAGTTCGATCCCTCGAGTATGGGAAGCTGTCCTACCCAGCAAAATATTAGCAGGTATTATAAATTTAAGCTGTTGATTTAGTTCTTTGTTTACTTCTATTGTGCTAGGAACCAACTACAAAATTGCTTGTTTATTTGGACAGGTTTGGATTCTTGGTTGGTCAATGTAGTAGAATGTGCCATTATGCTGTGAGTTCGGATGAAGCATTTCATACTGCCAAAGGGTTGATTGAAGACTTGACCTTGCGAGTGAAGACAATAAGTGAAGAAACAACCAACAAAACAAATAATGCTACTACGGATGCTGGAGTGAACTCCTCTCAGTTTATTAAGGACCCCCATCCAGTTCGAAGTAAAGGGAATGTGAAGCAACCTCAAGTGAAAACACGGTTGTGCAAGTATTGTAGGCGTCCTAAACATACAATCAGAAATTGTCCGCTGAAAAGAATGGCTGAAGCAGGTGCAGGTGATAGTCATTTCACGCAACAAGAATACAACTTCGAGTCCATAGGAGCAGGTGAAAGCAGCTTTCATGTGGAGACTCAAGAATCTGTTCTACTTCCCAAACGATCCAAGCACAACCTGTAATGCTGGTGTTCGGCTTCAAACAACATTATGTTTCATCTTGTCATGTTTGTTTTGTACAAGTTAGTATCTAGTGACATTGAATGGATCTATGTAATGCTTGTGTCTAGCTTCAAAGAACATTATGACTCATCTTTTCATAAGCTTGTAGTTTTCAAAAACAGTATATTATGTTTCTTACACTCTTATAATAAGTACAGGGGTTAGTTCTACATGTGAATGTCTGTGCAGGCCAATTCCGGAAATCTCACAGCCGTGAAAGCATGCGTGATTTTTGGATTTGAAATTTTGAAACTATCACGGCCGTGAGAGTAACCGTGAGAGAGGCCGTGAGATGGTTACAGTTGAAACCCTAAACCACGCCTCATAACTGGAACCTCACGGCCGGGAGATATGCCGTTAGAATTCTTTTTTAAATTTGTAACTTCCAGGGGGTTTCACGGGTTATATCCCGCCCGGGACAATAAGCCGTGAAATGAGCCGTTAGATTTTTTTGAAAAAGAGGGGGACTTCCAGGGGGTTTCACGGGTTGTCTCGCCAGTATCACGGCCGTGAGATGAGCCGTGTTTGTGCAATTGAAATGCTGAACTTCTCACGGCTCATCTGTTAATCTCACGGCCGTGAGATTAACCCGTGAGATGGTCACAGCTGAAACCCAAAAAACACGCCTCACAACTTAAAACTCACGGCCGGGAGATGTGCCATTAGAATGTTTTTAAAAAAAATGTAAGTTCCAGGAGGTTTCACGGGTTATATCACGCCCGGGACAAAAAGCCGTTAGAATGTTTTTAAAAAAATTGTAACGGACAGGGAGTTTCACGGTTTATATCCCGCCCGGGAGAAACCCCGTGAGATGGAATTCAGCAAATTGGAAACACCCTGTTTTAAATTTCTCTTGTCTACTTGAACCCGACCCCCAACCCTCTGTTTTACTTCGACCCCGAACCCTCTTCTCCCCAACCCTCTTCTCCCCCGACCCCCAACCCTGTACTCCCTCTGTTCTCACTCGCTCGCCATCGCACTTCGACCCCCCAAGCCTCGCCCTCACTCGCTCGCCATCGCCCTCGATCGGTCGCACTCGCTCGCTCGCCCTCGAAGATTCTTCCGCCGCCGACCACTTCCCCACGACTCCTCTGGTAACTGCTCCAAGGTTCAGCGGCGACGGCGACCATTTCCCCACGAGTCTCTGCCCTCTGTTCCACTTCGTGAGTTCTTCTTAACCACAGCGGCCATCTTCTCTGGTTTCTTGCATTTTTTAGGGTTTAGTTGCCCAAGGTTGGTCTGAATTAGGGTTTTGAATTCGTAATTGTGATTAGAATGCTCCTGGTTGGTCTGAATTAGGGTTTTGAATTCCTAATTGTGATTAGAATGCTCCTGAGTGGTCAGTTCCTTATCATCCCTTCCCCACTCATTCTGCTCTTTTCAACTCTTTATGATTTGCTTAAGCCATGCGATTGGATCTGAGATTTTTCGCTGGTACGCTGGTAGTCTGTTGATTATGTTTAGGTAATGAGGAGCTGAAGCTGGTATAAGCTGTAGCCTGTACTGTCTTTGGTACCGCTAGGGTTGTAATTGGTAATGCGAGGCTGTTGCTGCTTTCTATTATCTCCAGCAATTGGTTTGTGTAGAGCATTGACATGGTTCTGACTGATCATGATGGTTTAGACGTGATTGAAATGCTCCAGGGATCATCTACCTTGACGTCACATTGAGTATTCCACCTCATCGATCTCTAAGGAAGAAAGCAAGGAGAACAAACTTTCCTAGCTCGATACAATCCTTGGACAAGGAATGCAACAAAGAGATGGAGATCGAAATACAGAGAGTGATTGAAATACAGAGAGATCGAAATACATAGAGAGAGGTTTTGAGTGGGAGGGATGCAAAACCCCTGACCAAGGTTGCATCTAGCTAGGAAAGTTTGATCTGTCCGGTATCACCCCAGCTCCAAGGGGAGTTACAAACGTGGAGATCGAAGAGGATGGAATACTCAAAGAGACGTCAAGGGAGAAGTCTGTAAGTCTATATCTTCCAGTATCTTTTCATAAGCTTGTAGTTTCCACAAACAGTATATTATGTTATGTTCTGTTTATAGGGTTTTGAATTCCTAATTGTGATTAGAATGCTCCTGGGATTAGAATGCTCCTGGTTGGTCTGAATTAGGGTTTTGAATTCCTAATTGTGATTAGAATGCTCCTGGTTTGTTGCATTTTTTTAGGGTGTAGACGTCTCTTTGTGAATTGCATATGCTTATGCATAATTCTTTTCCCTCTCATTCACTAAAGACTTAATGTGCTTAGTTGGTTTTTGTAGGAATGGGGAAAGCTAAACAAAAAACCACGCAACCATCAGCCTCACCTGCTAAAGTGAAGGCTACTTATCGTCGTCGCCGCCAAACCCAAGAACGAGACACTCCCCCCAAACGACAACGCAAAAACAACCAAGGACGAGCACGTCAACCATCTCCACCACCACAAACGGAGGCTCAACTTGGAGGAGGGGGACTTCACGGCTTCCTCCAATTACCCGACAAACATAGGAGGGCTTTAGAGCGCTTCCTTCCCCTCCCATTTGGGCAGCAAAGATGCATTGATTGGGATCTCCTAGAGCGCCTCGGAGCAGCGGACCCCGTTCGCACATGCCTCCGTCTCCCGGCATGGTGTGAGGTTCTCTCCATCAATGAGGTCATCTACCGAGAGCTTACCATTGAGTTCCTCAGCACTCTCTCCATCAAGTTTATGTGCGAATTTCACCTCGACAAGCCCGAAGACAACATAACTTTTCGCCTTGGAGGACAGGCGAGACAGATGAGCATCACTGAGTTCACAGAGGCACTCCAGATATACCCACCAGGATTTCTCACTACAGGTCATGGTTTGATTTCAGAGAAAGTATATTCACCAAGAGCACAATTGGTCGATGCTATGTGGAAAAGGGTAAAACAAAACCATGTGGACAAGTCTGACACTGCCCACTATAAAGGGAATGATCTTCTTCCCCCATGGCGTATCATCCACAACATTATCGCTCATTCTGTGGCAGCTAGGGAGGGGAGCCCGGGGAGTGTGACCAAGCGGGATTTGAACTTTTTCCTCTCTATGGTAAAAGATCCCCCAATTCATCTTGGTTTAGTCATACTGAAAACCCTACATAAGATGACCTCCAACAAACAAATCAAGACCATCCATGGAGGTGCCTACATCACAAGGCTAGCTCGGCATTTTGGCATTGATCCGGTGGGTTCTCATTGCACCATTGCCCAGTCCACTCAACCAATCTCCCAAAAAAACCTTGCGGATCTATATTTGTTGTCAAAGGTAAATGTTCCAACCAACACTTTCCTTTTCACAGTGAATGCTAAAACAGAACTAGTCGGGATTCAAACAATCTAGGATTGATTTTGTGCAAGTTTTGGATTGCCTACTAATCTAGTTCCTTTTGAACATTGAGCAAATGTAACTAATGCTTCTGATATTGATCATGTCTGGGTTTGGTGGTTAAGGAGAATGGTGTGGTAGGCATTGTTGGCCTTCCTCATCCTGCTCCACCTCTTGCAACAGATGAGGCAAACGCATCGGAGCATGTTGTTCAGCAAATGGTCGAGGAGTCTCCGCAACAACCTGCACAACATCACCAAACTACGACTCAAGCCGGACCATCCACCGACAGATACATTTCCCATTTTGAGGCATTGGGTCGGCAGAATGCCCAAATTCTCGAGCAAAATGCACTCATTCTCTCCCGCCTCGATCGAGAAAAGGAAGCTCGACGCTACATCATCAAATGCAACCATCACATCATGAGGTCCTTGAGGATTGACTACAAAAAATTCTCAACACCTTGGGAACTATCTCCTAGGCCAACCGAGGAAAGCAATGAAGAGGGAAGTGAAGAGGACGACGAGGGCAACGACGATGAACAAAACAAGGAAATAAATCAAGAGGACAAAGGGACCGATGAGGAAGAGGGCAGTGAAGAGGACGACGAGGGAAACTGCGATGAAAAAAACAAGGCAATAAATCAAGAGGACAAAGGGACCAATGAGGAAAAGGGAAGTGAAGAGGAGGACGACGAGGGCAACAACGATGAACAAAATAAGGAAACAAATCAAGAGGACAAAGGGACCAATGAGGAAGAGGGCAGTGAAGAGGAGGAAGAGGGCAGTGAAGAGGAGGAAGAGGGCAGTGAAGAGGAAGACGAGGGCAATGGCGATGATCAAAACGAGGAAAGAAATCAAGAGGACAAAGGGACCAATGAGGAAAATGGCAGTGAAGAGGAGGACGACGAGGGCAATGGCAATGAACAAAACAAGGAAAGAAATCAAGAGGACAAAGAGACCAATGAGGAAGAGGGCAGTGAAGAGGACGACGAGGACAATGGCAATGAACAAAACAAGGAAAGAAATCAAGAGGACAAAGGGACCATTGAGGAAGAGGGCAGTGACTCTAGCGAGGACAATGAAGATGAGCAAATCCAGCAAAACGAAGACGAGGACGAGAGCACTGACGAGGAAGATGGGCAGTGAAGATGACCCAACAAAAGTCCTTAGTACTTACCTATGTGTGTTTGCGTTTGTGCTTGTATGTTTTCCAATTAGAATATGATGATGCACTAGTGTGGGCTACATGCAGCTAAACTTAAGCATTAATTAGACAGATTTAATCGTGTTATGGATGCTTGTTTTATTAGACAAATGTAATGCTTTGACTGCGTTTCACTTTTTGTTAACAGGGTATCTCATCTGATATGATGTACAGTTACTAGAGAACATTGTGAATGGATCTATGTAATGCTCGTGTCAAGGTTTAGAGAACATTATGAATCATCTTTTTCATAAGTTTGAAGTTCTGGAAAAAAGTCCATTCTGTTTGAAACACCATTATAATAAGTACACGGGATAGTTCAACAGGTGAAAGTCTCCTACTGGAAATCTGACACCTTATACTAGTAATCTCACGACCGTAAAATACTCAAGTTAGATGTAAAAACCAGTGCTTCATTCCTCAGGCAAATATCACGGCCGTGAGATGTCCCGTGAGATGCAAAGAGCAGTTCTCACTATCCCAGGAAATTTAATAAATCCCTTTATGGTACAACCCAAAATTGTACCTATACTAATGGTACAACTTTTATGGTACAACCCAAACTTGTACCTATACCATGGTACAACTTTAAGTTGTACCTACACTTTCTAACAAATCCCTTTATGGTACAACTAAAAATTGTACCTATACTAATGGTACAACCTTAAGTTGTACCTACACTTTCTAATAAATCCTTTTATGGTACAACCCAAACTTGTACCTATACGAATGGTACAAGTTTAATTTGTACCTACACTTTCTAAAAATCCTTCTATGGTACAACCCAAACTTGTACTTATACTATGGTACAACTTTAAGTTGTACCTACACTTTCTAATAAATCCCTTTATGGTACAACCCAAAATTGTACCTATACTAATGGTACAACCTTAAGTTGTACCTACACTTTCTCCAAATCCAGCTATGGTACAACCCAAACTTGTACCTATACCATGGTACAACTTTAAGTTGTACCTACACTTTCTAACAAATCTCTTTATGGTACAACTAAAAATTGTACCTATACTAATGGTACAACCTTAAGTTGTACCTACACTTTCTAACAAATCCCTTTATGGTACAACTAAAAATTGTACCTATACTAACGGTACAACCTTATGTTGTACCTACACTTTCTCAAAATTCTTTTATGGTACAACCCAAACTTGTACCTATACCATGGTACAACTTTAAGTTGTACCTACACTTTCTAACAAATCCCTTTATGGTACAACTCAAAATTGTACCTATACTAATGATACAACTTTAAATTGTACCTACACTTTCTAATAAATCTCTTTATGGTACAACTCAAATTTGTACCTATACTAATGGTACAACCTTAAGTTGTACCTACACTTTCTCAAAATCCTTCTATGGTACAACCTAAACTTGTACCTATACTATGGTACAACTTTAAGCTGTACCTACACTTCCTAAAAATTCTTCTATGGTACAACCCAAACTTGTACCTATACCATGGTACAACTTTAAGTTGTACCTACACTTTCTAACAAATCCCTTTATGGTACAACTCAAAATTGTACCTATACTAATGGTACAACCTTAAGTTGTACCTACACTTTTTCAAAATTCTTTTATGGTACAACCCGAACTTGTACCTATACTATGGTACAACTTTAAGTTGTACCTACACTTTCTAACAAATCCCTTTATGGTACAACTAAAAATTGTACCTATACTAATGGTACAACTTTAAGTTGTACCTACACTTTGTGAAACAAATTCTTCAATGGTACAGCTGAAACTTGTACCTATACTATATGGTACAACTCTAATTTGTACCTACACTTGTATACACTGATTCATTATTTACAAGATTGCCATTAATGATGTGGGACCAGTCATTTAGTGGGTTACCTCCTCAACAGGTCACCTTTTTTTTTTGTTTTTTATAGCATGGGTGCTATAGAGCACACTAGAAAGGCTCACACACTAAGCCCCAATTAATTCAGTTCTCATTTCTTCAACTTACTGACCCCCGTCCCCCTAGCCCCTAGGATTGAATTGAAAATGGAGTATTAATTGTATCTGTCCTACCATTTGATCATGCCTGAATTGAATTACTTTATTTTTCCTTGCTTCTCTTCGTATGGGCTGATTCTAATGGGGGCATTGGACTTCATGATTCACCCATTTCAGAGATGGGTAAATGATAATTAATTAAGCTGTCTATATATGTGCATGTCGTTGTTTATGTTCTATACTAAGCTTCTATAGGACTATACTTATACTAATCTCACAACTCTGGCTTTTTGCAGAATTCCTAGGCACTATGTAGTAGTTGTTAGTACGACGGAACCATAGTTCATAGAAACATCACAAGTTTTATAATTTCGGGTTCTGCAGTTCGTGTGCCTCCTAATACTTTATCACCCGTTGTCTGTTATTGAACAGTGCAATTAATGGTTTGTGAGCAACCAACCAGTGGCGCCTCCTCCTCGATCAATAACCACTGGGCATCACGTGCAGCGCTGCAAATTAAGGACAATATACTTTCAGAATAAGTAAAACCATCTCACATATGATTGGTTTCGTGCATTACTTTTCCATCGTGTGATTGGTTTCCTATGTTTTGCTCTTTCCACAGGGTTGCTGAGAGCAGATTTTGAACTGCCTTCAAGTCCAACTATAGAACAAATTATCGCTAAGTCTGAATGAAAGTAATATTGCATTCAATATTCAGTACTAATAGTGGAAGTAATTGATTTGCTGGGAAAAGTCCATTTATGTGACCTTTTTAATGTTCCTATGCAGAGTTAGATACACATGTTCAAGATATATATTGATAAATTTCAGTTCCAAATGTGCAACGGTAATCATTGATATATCTTAAATAATCGTTGTTCCTCCGACATCTGTAATTGGTTTCCAGGTATTATTTGTTGTTCTTTATTGTAATAATATCGATAGTTCGATCGATCGATCGATCTTACTTTTACAAAATAAATATATAAAACAAATTCATCAATCAAATTATCTCATTTTAAAATTGTTGCTTCCTGTCGATTCCCATAAGGGCTCTCCCCTCATTTC